AGTCCAGGTAAATGACATCGGTCGCCTTTCCCTTGTCCACCGATGCCGTCACTCCATCATAAAAGGCCCCCGCGCGGGGTCCCTCGGCATCCCGCTCCCGTTGCCGTGCGCTGAGCCCTTCCGGCTCCGCGGCGCTCCGCTCCCCGCCGTGCAGTCGCTGCGGTTCCCCCCCCCCGAAACTGTTAGAAAACAAGAACAGCCAGGGACGTTCGGCCGTCGCGCGGCCCCTCGTGCCGGCAGAACGGGCGGCAGAGCGCTTTGCCCGCGGTACGCCGGGAATGCCGGACCGTGCCTTTAACGTGACCGCCACCGTAAGCAGGGCGTACGCCGGTCCCGCCGCGTCCCGTCCTCGGAACGATCTGCCCGTACGCGAAGTTCGCACCTTCCGAACGTTCCGTTCTGCGGCCGCGCCCGCCCGAAGCCCCGCCCCGCGCCCGCCTCCTTCCCGCCGCGCCGCCCGCAGGGCCGCACCACGGGGCAGCGCTCCGCGGGACCGCCCCGCGCGTGACGTCATCAGCGACTGCCACGGGGCTCTCGCGCCTCTCCGCCAGCGCCGAGGCCGCGTGCGCTTCCGCCGGGAAAAGTAGTGCGCGGGGCCTTTTCTGCCTCGCCGCCGCCCGTCTCGCGCCCGCTCGGCGCCGCCGCGGCCGAGGCCGCCCGGCTGTTTTTCGGGACCGACGCCGGCAGAGGCCGGGAGGCCGAGAGGAGCGTTCCGGAGCGCGGATCCCTCCGCCTGCGGTATCGGTGCTGAGGCCGGTCCGCCGCCATTTTGAATGCCTGGCCTCTGCTGCCGCCTCCGCTCCAGGGACCGGCCCGGTGAGTGGGGCCGCGGCGCCCGTCCTCCCTCCCGCCGCCGCTCCGCTCCCCGGTTCCTCCTCTCCTCCCGGTGCCGGCGGGCCGGGCTCTCGGTCGGCGTCGCTCGCGGCCCACAGGATCGCGCGGCCCGGGACCGCGACTGCCGCCGCGCCGCTCTCGGGGCGCTGCCCGCCCGACCTCCCGGCCGGCCGCCGTCCCGCGGCTCCTCGCGCTCCACCCGCCCTCGCTCGGTCGCGGCCGCTCCCGCGGCCTCTGCTCGGCGCTCCGGGCCGTCGGCCCGCGCCGTCTCGGGGCTTCGGGAGGCGGAGGCAGCGCTTCCCGCGGCCTTCGGGTTTCAGCGGCGGGTGCGGGCCGCCGCGCAGCCCCGTTGCCGGGCTTGGTGACGCCGCGCGGCGCTGCGGGAGTTCCGCCGGCAGGGAACGGCCTCGGCTCGGCGGCTGAAAGGCGGCGCGGTGCTCGGAGCCGTCCCTGTTCCTCTTCAGAAGCCCCGAGGCGAACCGCGGCCGTTTTAACGGTAGGCGTTGGTTCGGAAGCTGGCGGATGGGGCTGCTGTTCGTCCCGCGCTGCTTTCGGGCGTTTCGTGGTGCGTTCGGTTCCGAAGGCTTGAAGTCTGAATGGAAAAATACGGGGCGAGGTGGAAGTGCTTCGGAAGGGCGTTTCACGTGCAGGACCCGAAGGGGCATTTGGGACTCAGCAGCTTAAGCAGAACAGGACGTACTTCTCACTGCGTAGTGCTCTTCTCATCTAGCGTTTAAAATGATAGATTGAAGATTTTTTTTTTCTGCTCTGATTCTATGCAGTAGCGTAAATCTCGATCTTTTGTATGCTTTTCTTCCCCCTTTCTGTAAACTGTTTTTTCTCTGTTTATCTGCATGTTTCCTTTCTACCACCAAACTTTTCCTTTTTCCTGCTCATGCTCGGTCTTCAAACAGTGCATTTCAGTGGATACCCGAGAGCTGAATGAAGGCAGGAGGCTTTGTTCCTCGGGGGCAGCGTGCAATGTGAGCCCTCACTTCTGCCTGGGAGGAGGAGAGGAACAAACTTAAATTCCTGTGACCTGATAACAGGAAGGAAAGTCCGTTTGTGAGGGGCATTCAGCTTTCCTGGCCCCGGTGCATGGGATAACTTTCAGGTTCCATTTATTTATTATTATTATTGTAGGGGGATATTCTCTTCCCTTTCTTTTCCCAAGTCCCTGTGACTTTTGATCTGACCTTTTTTTTTTTTCCAAAAGGTGCTGTAATCAAAGCAGAGTTCTTCCATACTTCTGTTGGCAGTGTCCTGGCCTATGAGTGAGGGTGAGAGGTAAACTTCCCAATCCTGATAGCCTCTTTGCAGACAGACAGGACTTTTGAATTAGCATTGTTGTAACCTGATGAGATCAGTAAGTTCATTTATGGAACATAAAGGCATTGAGCAGCAGAAAGGAGCTGAATCTGTCCGTTCTTTGACATGCGGATAGACTGCATGAGTTAAGATTTGGAAAGTTGCCTTTCAGAGTATAAGGGCTAATACAGTTCTTAATCACTTCTGAAGTTAAAGGTATTCAGCACAGCATCTTGCGCCTCCTTTGCATGAATGTTTGCTCTTATTTTTGAATTGTGATGTGCATTTTTAGACTTCTTTAGAGATGAGCTGTTTTGTTTAATAAGAGGGCAAACTCTTCTGACTGAAAGTGATGTTAATTTGTACTTGTACTGGGATGTTCTTCGAGGAAAACAGTCTCATCTATTGTGATAGTTGTGTTCCTATATCGGATGTTACTTCTGGTGTCAGTAAACAAATGCATGATGGTGTTACTCAGAAAAGAGTAGTGCAAGTGTATATCTGCTAATATTACTGCTGTTGGTAGCATTTGCTTTGATCTGGCACTTTGGATATGCTGTAGATAAAGTCCATGATGAGCATTTTAAGGCGGCAGTTACCTGGCGGTTTGTTTCAATGCAGTGTAGGGGCAGGTGTGTGATTTAGTCATAAAGCAGTGGCACACGTGCTGCCTTGCCTGCACAGTACTCTTGTGCTGCCTTTCTTGTTTTTCTCAGTGTACCTGGACATGGGACCATCACAACCTCTGTGACTGTTTTTCAGCTCCTGTTTTTAGGCATGTTTTTTCATACTTCTTTCCCAGCACCCCCCTCTCCCCCCGGTCTTTGTATAATGCAAAGTAATTCTGATGCCTTGTTATCATTCTGTCTTGGCATCCCCCCTCACCTTGCCTTAATTTCTTTCTGATATCCCAGTGTTCTTTATTTTCCACTTAATAGTTCCCTGTGTTGTAGGAAATAGCTCTTTCTCAAGAGAAACTATGTTCTCCTTTGAATGTTGTATGGTTGGTTGCTTTTTTGGAACTGTTGTTTGTTGCCTTTGCCCTTAGTGATGATGGCGGTGCTGCTTGGTTAGGAGTGTGCTGTTTTCTGTATAAATATTGATAATGCTAAACAGTATGCCAGTATCTCTCTCTTATTTTTTTTTGACAGTCTGATCTCTGTTTGTAGTGTTTTATTTTTCTTTTTACTGCCAATGTGCCACCTTCTTTTCAGTTGTCTGATGGTAGTGTGGAGACCCTGGCAGTGTTGTGCAGTTGAGGCCTGCGGTCTGTTCTGGTTAACCGCTGCCGATTTTCCTTTCATACAGTTTATCCAGACATTTCTTCTGCTTTCTTTTTGTGTTCCGGAGGCTCGATCAGTTCTAATGAAGCACGTAGGGGAATTCTGTTACTGATTGCAGTTGGAGTTGGGTCAGGTTTGAATTATGTAACTTCCCAAAAGTTGGGGTGCGGGGTGTTTTGTTTTTTAAGGAGTGTGATTGCGTGAGCTGGGGGTAGGGCGGCTTAATCTGCGTATGTAGATCTGTTTGAAAACGTGTGCGTGTGTCATCTTTGGCTGCTTTGTAGGATGAGCTGAGTTTGGAAATGCAACTTAAGGGAGAATCTGTGAGCAGGATTGTATCCTATTGGAAGAGTCCTATTTGGCTGTGTCCCCCAGACAGCCACGCTGTTCTCTGGGTAATTCCATGAGCCTCAGTGGGCTTTGTCTGTTGCCAACCTCAAGGAATTGAAAACTGATGTTCTGTCCTAAACAAGTTCTTAAGCAGTGACTTTCTGGTAGCTTGTTTTTAAGTGTTCATTAACATAGTGAAAGAGTAATTTAAAAAAAAAAAAAGTTCTTGGTTTTATTAGTAGTAAGACATAGGCTAACATTTCTGAAGAGATTCCAGAGGGATGGATCTCAACTTGGTTGCACATTCAAGACTCGCAGGTCTTGAGGCTTAATTTCCTGATAGCTGAATGTAGGTTGACTGAAGCACTTGAGTATTTTATGTAGGAGGTTTCAGTAGGGTCTTGTGCTGCTTGCAGATATAAGATGTTAATTGCTGAACAGCTGCCTTTGAATACTGTGGTATTCTCAAGTAGGTTTGTAGCCAGGTTCTATACTTAAATATTTTGGGGATAGTAAACTCTTCAAACTTAAAACAGTACAAACATATCTAATAAAGGGCTGCAAGGGAGGAGAAAGTACCTGTTTAGAAATGTAACGTATAATAAAATGATTTTAATATGTTATGATTTTTGTTTTGCTGGTTGATGTGGGGTTTTTTGTTCCACTTTTGGGTAGTTTACCAAGAAGGAGTTGCATGATGGAAGAATACCTTCCTTGTTGGTTTGGTGAGGAATTAACTGAGTTGGAGAGGAAGGAATTTAGGCACCAATTGTCCAACCACAGGAGCTAATCTGAGTTAGATATCTAACTCTTTTTTTGTAATAACTGGCTATCAGGAGGAGAGCTTCTTAAAGAATAAGGCTTTCACACTGATAAAGTATGAAAAAAATCTGTTGTTCCTACTGTTAGGTTCTTGTCAGGTATTCAGGGATAATCCCTGATTTCTGGACTGTATGGGTAGCAAAGAAATAGCCATGGAGTGCTTCTGCTGTAAACAAAATGAGGAAAGAGATTGAATAGGAGCTGTTGAGTCAGGGCCTGAACTGCTGACTGAGCAGCTGGAGAAAGGGGCTGGGAGCACAGGTGAAGGCAATTCAGCTGTGGGACCAGAAGGGGCGGAGCCTGGCTGCAGCTCTCTTAGACCTCATTGAAGGGCTGAGTGCCACTGGGGAAGGAGCTGTGGTTGGAGATTCCTCCTTGGTGAAGCTTTCCCCTGTGAACCTGGAATCTTCGGATAGAGTGAGCAATTTCTTCCCTTCCTTCATAGCACCTCTCTATTGAGCCGATCCTCCTGTCATTACACCTCTGGTGAAACACCTTTTGGCATCATATTGATCTGTCCAATTGCTACAGGGGCGATTGCTTTTAAAATTTGCATTGCCATTTGTGTTGATGTGGAAGGAACAAGAACATGTGTGTTCTGTATGGAGGGAAAAGTGTTAATTAACCCTGAAAAACAAGGCTTGCTACTTTGAAAGAGGTTTTAAGCCAGATGAAGTTAAATTTCAGATGTGCTATTCCTAGATGATATGGGTGTCCTTTGTGTTCGTCACCTTGTGCAGTGAAACATCTCTGAAATGTAGAGTTCTGTCCAGTTATACTGCTATTGGCAGTTTGCTATTCAGTAGCTTCATGGTTACCTGAGACTGATTTTTCTGAATATTTTAAATGGCTCATAGTGTTACTTTCAAGATCCTGGCTGATACTGAGACAGATTTTATAGCACATTACTTATTATGTCTTACAGTTCTGAATTCTTAATCCTATTCAGATTTTGATTTTACGGTTCTTCATTAGCTCTTGTCAGTAAACAGATGATTGATACATGGCCTCAGTTCCTTCCTTTAGTGAAGTTTGAGTGCGTGCATGTCGAATCCCAGTGGAATTCTGGTACCGTTAGGTTTTGCTGCCTTGACAGGCTGTGGCACAGTCATGCTGTGCGTTGTCCATCCTTCATTCATACTATCGGGGAAATCCAAAGCACTTGTCAATAAATCATCTTCTGGAGCTTTTTGGAGTCGTCTTTCATTCTCTTTGTGCCTTTTATCATAGTGTAGCTTAATAAAAGAGTGCTGACTGTGTATCCATGGAGTCCATGAGACCTTGTGCCTGTCTTGCTATTACTGCTTGTCATTGTTCTCAGTGGGTATAGTTTTGAGTTATGGAGTGCTTGGCAGTGTGAATGTGGAAAAATGTTTCCCATTGTTCTGTGTTGATTTGATTAAAGGGGGGAGGATGCTTAGGTGTATTTCTTGAAAGAAGCGGGAAAAGGGGAGTCATTGGAATCTTTTTCATTTAGTAGAAGTTGTTTTTTTTTTCCTTAGCTGTACACCTGCAAATGCATACTGGTCAGGTGTGTATCTGGTGAGGTAGTTGCTATCTTATGTGAATTGGATGTCTCACATCCTGGAGGGATATCCATGCAACCTTGTTGCCTCCATTGAAGCTCTTCTGATTGCTTTTCTGTCTCGGATTTTTTTCTACCAGGGCTTTAAAAAAGTGCTAATTGTATGCAGTCATGTGACTTACTACCTGCAAGCGGAAGCATTGTGGATTTGATAGTTAATTAATGGATAGGGTCATCCAGAGGAACATGAGATTGTACAGGATTGTGTTGATGGCTTTGTGGGTCCATTGTGCTGTTAATGGCTTTGTGGGTCGCCTTTCTGAGTACTGAAGTGTGCCGTCCTCAGCACGCTGAAGGAGTTCTTGGGGTCTGGAATGGGAAATGTGAAACTTGAGTTTTGTTGAGTCTGGATACCTGCTTGGTTTGTTGTCTTGCAGGGTGTGGTTTTAGGGTGATTAGCTTTCCTGACTGCTGCAAGCTGTAGGTCTTCAGTGACCAAGGGGCATCTGATGGTGATGTCAGAGTGCTGGCAGAGATGAGCAGGCAGGATATGAATGTGGCAGTTTAGGGCATCCCTGCCACCTTCATTCAGAAGTGTCTGCACTGTGTGTGGCTGTATTTTTGAATGGAGTAGCAGTGTCATCCCCAGCAGTCCCTATTGGCTTCTTTTCTCCCAATTTTGTAATTATTTATTCTCTAGATCTGTGTCAACACTGTTGTGATGTGTCACCTGATACAGACAGTGGTGTCAGAGCTGCCACTGAAGTTTCTGAGGTTAATGTGGCTCTTCCAAGAGCAGGTCTGCTAGCTTTAGCCAGGAGAATTGTCAAAATCTAGGCTATTTTCTCTCAGATCATTTTAACTTTTTTGAGGCAGGGAGTGAAACGTACTTCTTGGTCAGCACCAGATTGGTACTGCTTTGTATGATAAGAGTTCAGGAGCTGTTTCTCTCAAATGGGAGAGAATGTAGGGTTGGAATGAGCACAGCATGGCTGAAAGGCTTGGAAGTGCAGGGGTGCTTTACCTCAGGAGCAGTCAGCAGACTCTTGAGAGCGTTCCACAAAGTTTGTTTTGGGGGAAGTGTGTGCTCTGGTGGCTTGTTCCTATCAGTGCAGTGCAATTTTCTTGGTAGTAAGAAAACTCTTTCTGACAGGGAAGGAGGAGGAAGACACAAACAATACATTTAACAGAAATTTTGCAGTAAAAAGGATAAAAGAAAATGTGTCTGCGTAAGAAAGTAGCTCAAGCTGCGAAGAGTGTGAAGGGATTTGTTCTTGCAAGGTGGAGACATTATTTTTTTGTATCTGGGGTTGGGCAGAACATTTTTTTTGGTGGGAAGTATTCAAAGATACGTTTAAAGAACGCTGGAAGATTTAGTACTGTTTTTTTGGTTTTTTTTAAGTGTGGATGTGTAGTTGCAGCACAGAAGCAGAAGTTTGAATGCTGAAAAATAAATCATGGCTGTCCCTCGTTGCTCCCTGTTGTCCTCCTTGTGAGCAGTTCTGGTCAGGCAGGATATGTGTGAGAGATACAGGTGCTCTTCAAAGTAGCACAGTTTGCACAGTGTATTTGTAATATATCACACTTCGATGGGGAAAAAAAGAAAGCAGGGAGCTCCATAACTTGACCATTATCTGATGAAGATTCTTAGCTCTTAATCCTTTGTTTTCTGAATTACTGGTTCCTTGCTTTACTGTCTATGTGATGTTTAGAGGAATGTAGTGTGATTTGTTGTTTGTTTATGTAATCCATGCTTACAAATGTCCTTACCCACTTGTTTCAATGAATGGATGATGACAGTGAAATCTTACTGGATCTTCGGTATTGGCTTTTGTTTTTTCTGCCTCTTCAGCAAAGTAGGAAATCCTGCCTTAACACTGAAGAATGCAACATGAAGGTTCTTAGACTGCACTTCAAATGTATGCTAATTTCATGTGGTGCTATTTCCATTGGCTGAAGTGATTTAAGCTTTCTGCCTGTTTACTTTCTGTTGTCCAGGGCAAGATTTACTGGAACAAACAAAGCCTTCTATAAAAATACCTACAGAATGTAACAAATCACTGGAGATAGTGTTCAGCAATTTATAAACCCTTCAAGTACAGTGTGAGAACAGGACTTGTGATATCAAACCAAATTAGTACCAAACTTCGGTTTGTTTGCAGACTAAATTTTTGCAGATAAACAATGCAACTGTTTAACTTGTAGTTGCCACTGCCTCTGTTCTGAGGAGCAGAAGCTTAAGATGATCTGTAACTTGATGGTTCTGCACTTAAGGGTGACTTAGTGTAGGAGCCCATGCTTCACATCTTTCTTGCTCCATCTTGGCTCTCCCAGAGCTGTCTGCTCAAACTGCCTTGTGCCACGTAAGCTTAACTGTTCTGTTTGAAGGCATCTCATTTGTAGAGGAAAGTAACATGCTGGGTTTCAGATGTACAAGTGGCCTCATCTGGCATGCTGGGTCCCAGTCATGCTGTCTGTAGAGCAGTGGAAGGAGTGGAATCAGTCTCCTCTTTCAGAGTGAGCCTATACCTAAGTGATTATTATAATAAGATATTGTTATTAATGATGATGAAGTTACTGCCTATAGGCTGCAGAGGTATATGTCTGTATGGGAACTGTTGAGTCACATCCTGAACCACTGATTGAGCACCTGGGGAAAAGACCCAGCCAGACTTTGGAGCACAGGTGAAGGCAGTTCAGCCGTGGGACCAGAAGGGGCGGAGCCTGGCTGCAGCTCTCTTAGACCTCATTGAAGGGCTGAGTGCCACTGGGGAAGGAGCTGTGGTTGGAGATCCCTTCTTGGTGGAGTCTTTCCTGTGACCCTTGATCATAGGAGATGGGTGAGCACCTTTACTTTCCACTTTGAAATACCATCCTATCTGTGCTCGTCCCTTTGTTGTTACACTCCTGTATCGCCCTTCCACTGTGTTAATCTTTTCCATTGTAACAGCCTGCAGTGGTGTTTTTATTTCAGTTCCTTCCCCATTTTCCAACAAAGGCATAGCTTATCTAAAGCAGTTGAAAAGTGTGTTTGAAGGGGAAGGGATATGGGGTGTGGTCTGGGCTTCAAGTGGGCTGTTTGGGGGTTTGTCAGACTGTTACATAAACAAAGCACTTCGTAGTGACCACATACGCAGAGGGACTGTTAAAAGTCCCTGGGGAAATAAGAGGAGGGACTTCTCTTTTTTTACAAGTAGGTACTATGGCACAGCCCTGGTTTAAATGCTGGGCGCGGCGCTTGCTTTCCACACATCCTTCCGAAAGGGTGCAGAATTGTGGACCATACAGACAGGGCAATAACATAACCAGTCATGGAATGACTCAGATATGGGGCTGCAGGACAGAAAAGATGAGGGAGGAGTGTGAAGTGTGGAAGTGTGTAAGATGATGAGCTCCTTAGTATTACTAACTAACTACTAACAAAGGTAATTTGTTATAATCTCCATAGGATTATTGCGAGCATCAACTGCAATAAGGATTTGAAGCTGCAGAACAAATGAATGAACTGTCTTACCATGTGTTGTATTTGGAACTCAAGTAGTGACTAGCAGAATACTGTTGATTCTAGAAGTTCACCTGGATTCAAAATAAAAACAGATTTATCTTTTTATTTTTATTTTTGTAGGCCTTGACATTTTTTTTTTGCTTTAGAAATTCTTGCATTGTAAGTTGCTGAAGTCTGCAGTAGAACAGAATTGTACGTATGCATGCTGACCTGGCTCTTCCAGTCTTCCACAGGCTCCTGCTGCTGTGAGAAGCAAGATATCAAATGGAGTGAGCTTTGATCAGACATGGTAGGGCCACTGTGTTTCTGATCTGCTTTCTGTCTGTGCCCATTTAGGACACTGAAGAGTTGGTAGATGGTCAAAGAGCAGTCTGAGTTGAAGACTGCTATAGAAGCAAGGGGCCAACTTTAAATAAGGGGAACTTTATAGGAGCCTCAGAGACCTCTACCAACACAACACATCAAATCAAAAGCTAAACCTAAACAGATGTTGTTATAAGGTTTCATAGAATCTTGAGAGGTGGCATCCTGACCTGACTTCAGAGTAACTTCTGAAGTAGACAAGTCTCATCCCATAACTTTTATTTACATTCACCTCCAAAGATAAGTTCCTAAAGACAGGTTGTGAGCTGTATAGTGGGCTGTGGCTGTCAGCATTACCCAGTCTGCAGTGCCATCGTGCACTTATGTTTATTGCTTTTTGCTAAATTACAACAGAGTAAATCAGTGCATCCAGGCAGCAGCTGCCAACAACCTAGCACATACTAAATAGGAACTCTAGCTTACTTTGCAGTAACTCCTGCAGTTACCATAATTTTATAAGACATTTAAAACTGTTTTTTTCTTAGTGTTTTCTTTTTTTTTAATAGTACAATCTTAGTTTCTCATTCTGAAGTTTTCCATGCAAATTATTGGGCAGAGGTTTTTTGCATAGTCGTGAAAAAGTATTTAACTCTCAGGATAGAAAAAGTATTTTATTGTGGATGTAAATAGGGGGAAATGATGTGGCAAATGGATAGAACCAAGTTTCCTTTAGTTTGAGAAACTTTGGGGCTCTGAGGCTTCTGGGTGGCTTCCTGTGTGAGTGCTGGCAGTTTCTGTTTGTTTTGAGGATATATATTTTGTTGCGGTATTGAAAACAGTTTTCCAATTTTTCCAAGTTTTCAAGAATAATTATTTGTGGTTGTTCCTTCAAGATTGACGCTTTTGCACCCGAAATCTCTGGAGGTGGCATTACAGCAGGCGTGCCCCAAGGTGCAGCTCTTGATGCTTAGCAGGGTTTTCGTATTCTGTTTGTCATGATCCTACAGACTTACCTTGCTGTTGAAAGATCATGGCTCTACCACTGTCAGAGCTATGTTAGTTAAGTGCAGCGCTCTGTTTTAAGAGTTTAAACATTCCCATCTAATTAAAGATTTCTCTGTGTGTGTAGATTTGGTGCAGTGTGAGGAAGATCCTTTCAGTGGATTTTCAAAACCATCGAGACATCACAATCCATATTAAAAGAATGTTATTATAGTATTCAAAGGCCCTTTGTATCTCATGTTCAAATGCTATTCTTCAAAAGCTTTCTTACTTCCCCTTCACCATTCCTATGCTTATTAGTGTGGCATCTGAATGTTTGGGCAGCATAAATTCATTTCGTGTCTCAGTAACGTGAAGAAATCCTACAGCTTGTGGAGAGACAAGACTGAGGACTGGGGAGTCCAGTTATCTTTCTCTTCACAGTACTTTGAGGAAGCATTCTGTAGATAAAATATCTCTACGTATAATTTTCAAAATGTAGTACTTTGCATCTCTGCGAATTTGAGCTCTTGAGACATGAAGGTGGGCGGTTGGAACGTGAGAGACTGTCTGGTTGGACTGACCGAGGAGATTTAGTGTTAAGATTGAATTCTGTAACAGTCTGAGTTTATAATTCAGATCCATAGAGCAACATTCAGCTGCTTGTCTGTGAGATCGCCTTTACTCATTGTAACATGCCTGTCTGTTTTTCTGGTGCAGCACACGGGTTGCCCTGCTAAATGTGTGCTTCCCAGCCTGCCCATTCAGTGTGCAGCCAAACCTGGTGTGCCGTGCCAGCCAGTCAGCACAGTGTCTGAATGTGTCTTTTGTGATATGGTAGCGCTTAACATTTATGGCACTGATTTAGGAGGAGGATGACACACAGATGAACTGTGATGGACTGCTGTGTTGAGTAACTTTTTACACATTGGTGTGATTTTGTGATTTAAAAATGACTTAGCTAATCTTGCAGTTTAGCACGGATGGAAGAATTCTGTGGAGAGAAGTTTGTGTAGATTTTTCCTCATGAAAGTCAAAAGTCTGCTTTGCTGAACATAAACTACAATTAGGTTCTACAGTTGAACTTTCTGAACTTCTTTGGGGGGAGCCATTTTTCTCTTGAAATACATTCAGGAGAATACAGTGCTCTTTAGGTCAGGTAGTACCCATCACTGTTCCATCTGGCAAAATGAAACTACCTGAAGTTCATGTAGCATATGCTTTTTTTTTTTTTTAAACAGTCATCTTCATACAGTTCTGTGAGAGGCTTTGTCACATTGCCTCTGAAGAAATGATTGTTCTGACTGGTATTTAATAGAGGTACGGTGTCTGCTTGATTCTGAAATACATCCACGCTACTCATATTGCTTTTCTATCAGCATTTTCTGATGTCTTTTCCCCCTCAAAGGGAGAAGGAAGCATGGCACAAGTATGGGATTTATGAAGCATGGCTCTCTGAAATACCTGTCTGAAAACTTCTGCTAGTTACTTAACAGCATTGCTTTTTGTAAAGGATGGTTTGTCCCACATTGTCAAGATTTCAGGATCAAACCTCTTTGGTGAGAGGCAGAAAATACGAACATGAACATAGCTTGCTGAGTACTATTCTTATCTATTTCAGACTGGGAATCATGTTATGTTCACTTGGCAGCTTGTTCAAAGCATAGCAGTTTCACAATTGCTTTTTTAGAAGCAGAGAAGTTCTGTTCCTGGAAGGTACAATAAATTCCTGTGGCCTTTGGGTTTGCTTTTAACCATGCTAGTGAAGCTGTTTGCCTTTTTTTAATTCTTCCATTTATATAATTATAAGGGAAGAAAGAAGAATATGCTAAATTGAGTAAATTATGAAGTTCTTAGGTGCAGTAGAAGGCTTATGGGTCTCTTCCTTCTCCCAGAGGATGCCAGCCCCCATCAGACTGCGGGAGCTGATCCGGACCATCCGGACAGCAAGAACCCAGGCAGAAGAGCGTGAGATGATTCAGAAGGAATGTGCTGCTATCCGGTCATCCTTCCGAGAGGAAGATAACACATACAGATGCAGAAATGTGGCAAAGCTGCTGTATATGCACATGCTGGGATACCCTGCACATTTTGGACAGGTAGGTTAGTCTTCATTGCTGCTATTGTGTGTGTGTGTATACCAGTATGCTTCATGTGTTTGGAGTGCGTGGGCTAGTTTGGAGCAGAACCAGAGCAGTTTTGCTTTGAGATGTTCTGAGGTTTTGTCCTCACACATGTTCAGAACCTGCATTAGTTAGTTTTGACTATGATAAAGACACTTCCTGTTTGGAACCTGTTCTTATTTATTTTGTTATGAAACTTACAGTTAGTCTGCTTTACCCGGGCTGTCTGCTCCTTACTGCAGATGTGTCTTGCAGAGCAGTAGTTAAACTACAATCTGGTAAGTATGAGTATTTCTGGATGACCTGAGGATGGCATCTCGAAGCTGTGTATCTGATGGAAATTGCCAGATGTTTTAAAGACGTTTCTATACCCTTATTCTGAAGTATTCTAGGCAGGTAATAGTTGGTCTTGTTCCCAACAATAAAGAATTTGTGTTTCGTATCCCCGTTTTAGTGAAGAGATTTGGAGAATGCTGATGTGAGTTTTGGTAGTCTCTTGTCTTATTTTCCATGTACTGTTCCTTGGTCAAATTGTGGAAAAGAGAGATAAGATGATGGGGTTCTTGATCTATAAAATGTTCTTCAGGTTGAGCTTTGCTTAGTGTTTGAGGCACAGTTCATTTTTTGTTAGTAAACATCCTGTTAGTCATTGTATGGTAGCCGAGTCACAGCCTGAGCCACTGATTGAGCACCTGGGGAAAAGACCCGGTCAGCCTTTGGAGCACAGGTGAAGGCAATTCAGCTGTGGGACCAGACGGGGCAGAGCTTGGCTGCAGCTCTCTTAGACCTCATTGAAGGGCTGAGTGCCACTGGGGAAGGAGCTGTGGTTGGAGATCCCTTCTTGGTGGAGTCTTCCCCTGTGAACCTGGAATCTTCAGATCTGTCCAATTGCTACAGTCATAATCTAACCAGGGCCTCGAATTGTCTTAGCATTAAAGAGTGAATTTGCACTACACTTTGAATTTAAAGGGGATCATCTTATTTCTACATCATTGGATTTTTCTCCCCGAGAAAAGAGTTGTTCGAGATGTAGCAACTCTGCTGTAACAGGAACAACTGTGCTCACTGTAGCATATGATACTCCATCCTCTGGCCTTGGTTCTCATATAATTTGTCTGTTGCGCTTCTGGGAATTTATAGTAGCCAAGGCTAAGAAGGGATTTTAACAACTGTTATTTAAGTTGAAATCCTTTGTGTCCTCAGCGTTTATGACTGGAAGGAATCTTTCAAGATACTGGTGTTTTATAGGTACTTTTATATGATCTCCATTCTTTCTCTAAAACAATGTGCTGGGGGCCTGTTGAAGGCAGATGCCATTCCAGCAGTAATAGAATTTTGAAGATTGGTAGTCCAGCATTATAAACAAGAAGATTCAGAGAGTGACAGCATGAATGAGAAGGAAATTAATTATGATGAAAAACAGGAGAGTCACAGGCTGTTAGATCCCATGTCTGGTTTTATCCTTAAGATAGACATTTGACTTCAGCTAGTGTTAGGAATGGGGTAACCAATAATAAGAGTTTAGAGAAGGTGTCAGAAGAAGCAAATGGCGGATCTGCTTCTTTCCAAGACAGGCTTCCTCCACTTTGATCCAGGAAGTCTTGCACTATGTTTAGCCAGTGCATGCTGAGATGCAATGCATGGCAAACTGTCTTGAGGGCGTGTTAAAATTGGGTTATGATTTAGAAGGTATTGGGCATCCAGATTTTTTTTTTAGTTATTTCCTCTGCAAAAGAATACCAGTCAGAAAGGTATCTATGTTAGTAAAAACTTTGAGTTGTAATCTGGTGATAAACCTGTACTTATCAGGCTTTATTGATGTATCTGTTACAGCACTGAGGTAGCAGATCTTAATTGCTGTTCCTTTGAATGAAATGGATATAATGACATCAAGAGTTCTTCCGCTAATTAAACAGAGCTTCACTTCATTGTGTTGCTCAGTAGTGCTGTGTACTAAGCTAATTTGCATATATTTGTATATATATGAAGCAAACCGGTCAGCTTTTCGTACAGTAAATTTCAGTAATATCGTACAAATTTAAAAGTGCTGGAAATATCAGTCATTCGTTTCCTTCTGCTTTTTCTTAGTTGTTTGTTTTGCCTTTTTTAGCTCTTAAGCTGTAGCTTTGAGGCCATTGGTTCCACATTGCACTTCTGCAGAGCATTATATAAGCACCTTTTAAACTTTTTTGGAGAAAAAATGGGTCAGTGACACTGTAAAGATAAGAGGTAAATATGCAGTGTTATGTACCTTATTTCTTGGTTGATCTTGCCCATTCATGCATGTTCAGTTATCTCTTCGGATGACTGATCTTACTGCTTAGAGGTATTTCTGTATTTTAGATCTTCATCCATGTTAATCTTAGCTAACTGAATTTGCTTTCATTCAATCTTTTCCTTATTAGTTTGTCACTTAGCTCTAGCTAGATGATTATGTGGCAACTTCTTACATAGTTGTGTTATATATTCTGATTCTGTGCAGTTGTGAGAACTTGTTAGTGGCTAGGCCATAGCATTTATTTTTTCTGTCACATTAAATTTAATTTTCTTACAAGTTTTTCAGCAGCCAGTATAGCTTTGCCCTCTTGATGTGCGTGCACTTCTTGCATCTCCCTGTTTAAAAACAGTTCTGTTCAAGCTTTCGTGTAGTGCAGGACTGTGAAAACCTTTTCATGCTGCCCTGTATTTTTGCCTGTGCGGGCCCCTTTTGTGTCCTTCAAAGTAGATCTATTGGAAGCTTTGTCTCATCCCCTCTGTACATCCACGGTATGCTTACTTGCTGCCCTAGCTAATTTGTAGAATGAACTTAGGGCATGTGCTTGTGGGAAAATGAATCTTTTACCTGTTTTGAGAAGCCATTTTTGCTGCTTTGTCTGTGTAGCAGAAATGCTGAAGTCGCAGCTTGAAGCAGGGATGGAGCACCAGGTGGGAAGGCAGGGCCAGCCCAGGGGAGCTCAGGTGCACGCAGTGATGCACCCGAGTGATGAGAAGGGCTGGAGCCAGGATCCACCCCTTGCCAGTCCTCATTTAAGGGTTGGCAGTGGAGGTGAGGGTATCTTTCTGCAGATGCCTGTGTACCTCAGGCCTTTCAAAGGTAAGTAAATCATCTTCCTTTGTTTCTGTGTCTATGGCTGCTGCATTTGGGCCTGTCCTCATTTGCAGCATCCAGAGACTTTACCACCCTCCTATAAGCACTATACTTTCCATCATGTTATAGTGTTACAGTCTAGAAAGTAGAGATATGATTATATGTAATCGACTATCTGTTAGATACTTCACTGCATAGTAATGTTAGTGTCTGTATTTTTGAACTAAGAACGTGTTTAAAAGTTGGCTAGCAGCTAAACTCTGAAGTCATCTGAGTGTAAGTGGCAGCTAGGCATGTCATCTAAGGAATTTCCTTTATACTTTTGAATACAGTTGATACATTTCTACATGATAGAAGGGACATGATGTTTGTAGTGGCTACAATGCATGTGATTTTTAGATTCTGAAGTTCATGCAGAAATTATAGGATTGCAGGACAGCAGAAATTTAAATATGACTGTATCTAAAATTTACCTAGCTACTTACTTAATTACAGATCATAATCATCAAAATTGTTGACATCTTAACAGAGCGCTGATTCTCTCCCTGGTGGGTAGATGTACCCATTGAAGTGCAAAAAAAAAAAAAAAATCCGATGTATATCAAACATGGCATATCTTTGGATTTTTCTCTGGATTTCCAGATTTTTTTTTTGATTGATAGTTCTTATCTATGTTATCGTTCTCTTTTGTGCTCTGATCCTGCTTATCTGCTATATATGAGGTAATGGAAGATCAACAGAGGATTGTTACTTCAAGGCAGCAGACTTACTATTGATTTTGCTGCTCCTTTGCTGGGATCTTTGGGCAGATCATTCAGCCTTTGTTTTCCATATAATCAAAGTGGGAACAAAATGTACTTTTTAAAATATGTTATGAAAGAGACCTAAATTAGTTAATATCAGAGTTCAAACTCTTTCTCTTCTAGCTGAGAAATAGTTTAAGCTAATTCTTCTTTCTTTCTTTTTTTTCCAGTTGGAGTGCCTCAAGCTCATTGCCTCTCAGAAATTCACAGACAAGCGCATTGGGTATTTAGGTGCCATGTTGCTGCTGGATGAGAGACAGGATGTCCATCTTCTTATGACCAATTGCATCAAGAAGTAAGGGTACCAGCTCTCTCTCCATCAACACATGTTTTGAGGCTTCAGGATCTGGAATTATGCTTCTGATACTGATATTTTCAGTACTTTTTTTCCCCTTGTTTTAGAAAGCTTTTATTCTCTATCTGTTTCGTGCTGTTGACCGTAAAAGATTGTTGTAGTTTTGTACTGTATTGAATAGTCCTCTATGTTCCTTAGAGGGAAAAAAATACAAAATTTCATTGGTCCTGCAGAGGTATATGGCAAACCATACTTGTTGTAGCTACTGTTCTAGGATGGTAATGTGTTGCTCTGCAGGTTGTCTTAAGATAAATAAAAATAGGGAGACGAAATGGTCACAGTAAGCTTGTTAGACAGTGCAAAAGACCATTTGTGTTTAAAAAAAAAAATTTCCATTCATTGAATCATTCAGCTTGGAAAATACTACTAAGATCATCTAGTCCAACCCTCAGCTTATTATATGGGTAGATAGTGACAAGACAAGGGGGGATGCTTATGAACTAAAAGAGGGAAAACTTAGATTAGGTGTTAGGGGGAAGTTTTTCACTGAGAGGGTGGTGAGATGCTGGAGCAGGTTGTCCCTGGAGGTGTTCAAGACCAGGTTGGATCAGGCCCTGGACAGCCCGATGTAGTGTTTGATCTAGTGGCTGGCAGCCCTGCCTGCAGTGAGGAGGGTTGGAACTTGAGGTCCCTTCCAGCTCAGGCCATTCTGTGATCACCGCTATGCCCAGTAGACCATGTCACTCAGGGCAACATCTACCCTTTTCTTGAGAACCTTCAGGGATGGTGAGTCCACCATGTCTGTGGGCAGCCAGATCCAATGCCTGACCACTCTGAGAATAAATTTTTCCTAATATCCAATCTGAATTCTCTCTTGGTGCAACTTAAAGCCATTACCTCTTATCCTATTGCTGTTATCTGGAGAGAGGCCAACCCCCAGCTCTCTACAACTCCTTCCAGTTAGTTGCAGAGACTAATGAGATCCACCTCCCCACCTCCTCCAGACTAAAGAATCCCAGTTCTCTCAGCTGTTCTTCAAAAGACCCTTTGCAGCTTCCTTGCCGTTCTCTGGACATGCTGCAGGGCATCAGTGTCCTTCTTGTAATGAGAGTCCCAAAAGTGAGCACAGTGCTTGAGGTGTGGCCTCACCAGTGCCAAGTATAATTCCACATTTGAGAATTAAATTATCTCCCAGCTTACAAAGTAGGAAAGAGACAGGCATGCAGTTAGTAATGCAGCATTGCTGAAGGTCTGTGTACCTTTTAAATAGGATTAAATCAGAGGATATTTTCCTAATGCTGCTGAAACATTGTAGGCCAGGTTATCCTGTGTTACTAAACTGTATCTCTGTACTGTATCTCTTGCTCTATTTGTTTACTTGTGCTGATGAGCTCTGAAGTTTTTGACCTCGGGAATCAAGACTCTGTATGCCGCCGCCTTTTAAGGTTGACCTAGCAGTACTGATGTATGATTTTCCTTGGAAGCAAGGCAGTAACTTGGAATGTGCTGTCTGCTTGGTATCTTCCTGAAATTGGTCAAGAAAGGATGAAAAATAAGGATTGGGTTTTTTCCTCAGTTTCTTTACTTTTAAAATCTTTCTAGTGAAGTGCTGCTAAACCAGGACTGTTTCATATTATAGTTAAGTAAAGGATGGTCGGTCTGTTTCTAATGATGGACAGTCTTTTTTCAAGATGAGTGGGAAAAGGAGTGGAACAACTGGGGTCTAGTTGTTTTATCTTTGTGCCTGCTTGGTTGTATTTGGCGTGTCTGGTTTTATTTACTTTTTGAACATAAGCCTCTTGATTAATAGCAAATGAAGTATTGGAAAGATTGATTGCTTAGACTGTGTACTCAAAGTGCTTGGGAAGTCTTGACAAGACTGTGGGCCTTGGGATCTACAGATGTCTGGGAGATAAACTTCTGGTCAAATATTCTTTTATTGAAATGTCATACTCCTCCATTAGAACTAGACTGCTGTACTAACATCTTTTTCTGATGGCTTATGCTAAAACGAATTTGTGTGATAAGGGTGGGATGAATTTGACATGAGCCAGGCTGAAGCTAAACAAAACTGGGAGTCAGCACTTAGGTGGTGGGAACCTTATTGCTTTCTCTTTTGGCTTCCTCACCTGCCACTTTGTCGTGCTTTCATCAGTGTCTTATAACCACAACCTAGATCTTCCATACAAACAAGTGAACACCCTTGTGGTGTAGCATGTACTTGCTATATTCGCTGTTATGTATCGCTGCCCAAAACTTGCTAAAATAAGGAAACAAAAATCAACCCATTTTAATGGCAGGTGTACTCTGTTATTTTATTAGCATGTTGCCATAACTTCTATATATTACATGCAGAACGCTCTCTTTTCTGCATGTTGTATGAATCTGGTTGCATACTGCTTGCCTCCCCTGGTCTCCCGTCATGCAGTCAGCAACTCACCTCCCAAACAGGAACCGTATTTTTATTTCCTTCACAATGTAGTCGTTTGTGAATGGATCCTGGATGCTGTGGTGACATGAGTACCAGGTGTTTTGATGGAAAATTGGTTGGAAGTCAGTTTTTAAAAGCTGTTGTAATTGCTGTATGGAAGCTTTATTGTCTTGTACTTAATGTGATTGATGATTGGTGGGTGGCCTCAGAAGTAGTGTCTGCTGATGGGTATTGCATTTTGCAACTTCCAGGGGCTAACAGCATTTCCGTATGAATTACTTGCAAGCTCACTCAAGTGAGTAGTGGGCTTTTTGTTTATTTTATGTTGTTTTTATCATCCATCTTGAGCCAGAATAACAATATCTTGCATAGATTTTGTTTTTAAGGCTGTTCAGTTTGTAAATATGAATCTCACTTCTGATTCAATATTTTTGTTCAGTTTGTAAGTCTTAGCAAAAATTCTTATTTTGCGTTATACTGAGATTAATGTATTAAGCATATGTATTGTCTGTTACCCTTTAAGGTTTTATTTCACGACCAAATCCAGATGAAGTTTTACAGTTCATCATTCATTAATCCTAATAGTCATATGGAAGGAAGGGGAGGTAGCTAGAATTAAAAGCCATTTTAAAAATATGCAAGTCAAACTGCATTAAAATCTTAAGATTCAGAAACTGCAAATCAAAGCGCATATAAACCAGAAGCTAAAGCCTATTCTACAACTTGTTTATGCTGGGACAACTTACAAAGTTGCTACAAGACTATACTTGATGTTAGTTTCTTTCCTGCTTGCAAATTCCAAAATACAAGGTTTAGTCTTTACTATAGTAAACTCTAATGGAGTTCTCTGTGGTCTTCCCTCCTCTCAGCTCAAGCACTGGATATTCACCTGATGGTTTTACTGAAATCTTTTTCTTTGAAGATTCTATATAGAAGTAATAGAAAACTCAAAGCTGATATTGTTTACTCATACTCCCAAATGGCTTAGAATTTGGAGATTTCTAGCCATGTGTGCAGATGGCTGGGTGGCCATACACAGATGCACTTCTTTCCATGTTCAGGATTTGTTCACATGCTGACTGTCCTTTTTTTCACTCTTCTTGGCAGTGACCTTAACCACAGCACGCAATATGTGCAGGGGCTGGCACTCTGCACTCTTGGCTGCATGGGCTCTTCAGAAATGTGCAGAGACCTTGCAGGAGAGGTTGAAAAGCTCCTCAAAACATCCAACTCCTATCTTAGGAAGAAGGTACTTTTTAATGTTTTGTTAAGGATTAAAACTTGAGATTGGGATATCTTGCTAATAACTGCAGCACTAGACAGCTTGGAATGCTGACTGAATATTTGCAAGTGTGCAAGACAAGTTGAGGCCAAAGCCCATGTCTGTGCAGAGCAAGGATGTGCGCAATCCTCTAGAAGGCTAGCCTTCAACAGATGAGGTATCTGTTTCTAATTTCTAAGATGCTCTGTACCTTAAGGTTATTGATTGTATTACGAGCACCTGCCTGTTGACGGGCTCTAGCTCCAAACTTCTAATTGTTAGCCAGTATGAAAGAGCATCTGTAAAGTATAAATAGTATTTTTCTTTTTAAATATATTGTTATTTCTTGAAAAGGTTGGAGGAAATAATGGGATTTTAGGCACAACAGCAGTGCTGAGAGGTATTGCTGTATTCTGGGAAGAGGCAGTGCACTTGATTCTCAGACAGCTACAAAGAGTAGGGTCTTCTCTTGCTTCTGTTCTCTGGAAGATATGGGCAAACTTTTTGAAGTGTACTTCTGTTTTTCATAGGATCTGTCACCTGAAGGGGAAACTGTTTTGTGGGAATGTGATCGTATTCAAAGGAAAGAAAACAAGCCATGAATTTTACATAAATTTCACTTTTCACTTCCAGTTATCATTACCCTCCCTTCCTAACAGTGAGACAGGCTGAAGTAGCTCTATTAAATGCAGAGCCGCATAACGATTAATATGACTCTGAAGTGAATAATTTTCAAATGAACTACTGTTAGTGCAAGTGTTATTTTGCAACTCAATGCTTTTTTTACTTTTCAACTGTGGAAGTTTTGTTAAACTCTTCTGTGGTGCTGTTTAGTATCACTTGTAGCAGAGAGTGGAAAAATGTGCTATAAACATTTCAAGCCTCTGTATATCATGAAATTTGTGGTAGTTCCTGCTGTGCTGTTCTCAATGTCTTGTCACTGTACTACATACTAATCAAATGTTTTTCCTATATAGGCAGCACTGTGTGCTGTTCACGTTATTAGAAAGGTGCCTGAACTTATGGAGATGTTCCTGCCAGCCACCAAAAACTTGCTGAATGAAAAGAACCATGGTAATGTCTGAACGTGCTTAGCAAGACGATTACTGTTTTTTGCGTATGGCATACAGTACTGAAACCTTTTATTTGGAGGGATTTACTGAGTTATATTTTTATTATTTGTTTCTTCCCATTGCTATGCAGTGAGGACAAATGTAATTGAGAAGACAGGGGCTTATGGCTACAAATTAGCAGGACATTAGCAGCACGTATATGGCATAGGTGGTAAAAGGAACTCTCAATGTTTTTTACCTATTTCAGAGTGGGTGCAATGGGAAAGTTTGTCACTTCTATCCAGTACGCTGCCCAAATGAAGTTCAAAATGTGCATTTTAGCTTTTTGGGTGACTTCAGTTTGCATAGTGCTGTAGGATTATCTGACACTTGCTTAGTGGGCGTTACCAGAGTGGAGATGTTTTCTGACAGGAAAGAGTCTGTCTTCAGTGCTGTTTTAGATCATAGTATAGATTCTCACATTAATGTTGCTTTTTTTTTTTGCTAGGTTATTGTTTTAATGCATTTTCTTTTTCAAGTACTTCAGAAGATTATTTAAAGAGAAATACAAAAAGTATTTAACTTGGTTAATTTTGTATCAAGCTAGTGCTCACTCCTTACAGGCTTAGTCCTTTTGCTTATCTTCAGTGATTATGTGCCTTAAGAAAATAGTTGGTTGTGTTGTGCTGGAAGTCCTACAGCAAGTTTGTCTCCAGACAGAGTAGTTAAGTGAAATGTTACTAGCAGGCCATGTGTATTTTGTTTTTTTCATTTGCCAGTGCCTCCAGGTCCACCCCTGCAGGTCCCACTCATCATCCAGCCTGTATTCAAGTTTGGGATTGCCCTAACCCCAGTGGTAGGACCTTACACTTGGCCGTGTTGAACTTCATGAGGTTTGCAAAGGCCCACCTCTTGAGCCTGAGTGCCTCTAGATGGTATCCCTTCCAGCATCTTGACCCCACCATGCAGCATGGTGTTGCCAGCAAACTTGCTGAGGGTGCATTCAGTGGTTAATTTTCAACTGTTGTAATCTAAGTGCTTTGTAACTGACATGGCTTTTCTAACTACTTTTCAGAGATGTTTTAACTGAGTTCTGCAAGTCAGAACACAGCAGTTGACTGCCAAATAGACAATTTGGCTTCAGCAAATTGTCTACTGTAGTCTTCCTCTAAACTTGAGGTTTGAGACCTAAGGAAGATGCAATGCAGACCACGTAAGGCTGGGTAGGGTATCCAAATCAAGAGAGAAAATCGGGAAGCATAAGAAACTCAACACTTACATTTAATAGCTTGTCCTTCTCAAATCTTATTTACATGTTTGTTATTGTCCTACAGTATATTTAATAGGCAAGTTTTTAAAGCAATATACAAGTCCCGTTTGTCTCCTTTTTTGACTTTTAGTTGCTGATCTAAGACATGCACTTTGTCATCAACTTTACCTTGGGCACAGCTGCAAGTATCTTTTTGAAGCATGTGTTAGATTTAAGAGATTATTTTGTGTGATCTGTTTTCATTTCATTGCAATTTTTATTTGCCTAGAGCTAATAAGAGTTTTTTTCTCTTGGCTTTTAGGTGTTCTACACACATCAGTAGTCCTCCTCACGGAGATGTGTGAGAGAAGCCCAGACATGCTTGCACACTTTAGAAAGGTAAGTGTGAATTTGATAACATTGCAGAATTAATTTTCATGGTTTTGTTTTGGTTTTGATGCTGCTTAATTTCTGAAGTGAAAGCAGTGTGCACCTTTTTAAAATAAAATCCTTACAACTGAAGAATTTAACTACCTGCTTGTTATCAAAACAATAAAGAAAAAAGTGGGAGTGCTGAGTGCCTAGCCCTCTCCAAGAAGGGGTTAAGTTACAAAAATTACTCTTGAAGACTGTAGTTTGTATGAATCTCACCTTACAGTTAAGAACTAGTGCCCCCTTTCAGCTTTTTTGCTCTTCATAGCTAACTACACGGTGTCATCAGGAAGTGCATGTATATTAATCGTAAAGAAGCAAAAAAAAAAAAAAAGGCTTGCACATGCACTTGAATTCCTTAACCACTGTCACACAGTTGTATAAGCTCACATCGGAAGTACTAATGGAAGTTCTGTTCTCACCAATGGAAGTTTGTCTCTGATGCATGCTGTAGTACATAATTTTCCTTTCTAACTTAGAGGTTTCAGTGTCAACATCATTCCCCCTCTGATAGGAGTGTTTGCTTATTTTCTGCCTTAACACACATTTCCTAACATTTATTGCTGTAATTTGCTGTGCAGTATTATTGCCATATTGAAGACTACCAGACTATGTGAAAACTTCATTGTTTATTTTTTTAATTAATCTGATTTTTGGTCAAAGGAGAAATTGATAAAAGCTGATAAACAGAACTGGCCATTTGCTCCTCTCATGTGTCCCAAAGAGGTTTGTTTATTTTCATGCCCGGTTTACTGTTCTTCATTGACTTGTGTATATCACTAGGGATTTCAAACAGTTTGTCCTATTGATGCATTTTACCACTCTGACATACATCTCCTCTTGCCCTGGTTGTGTACAGCAAAGCAGGAATGAAAATGAAAGAAAGACTAGGGACACATGAAAGTGAGCCATTGCTCACTTATAGGTGGTAGTCTTACTGGTTAAAAAAAAAAAAAGCTGCCTCTGTGAAATGTAAGTACTAGGTACTTGCTTTTCTAGCAGTCTCTTTGGTTGTTTATGCTGTGAATGATGTAACATTGATTTGTCCCTAATGCCTGCTTCATCTGTTTTGTCTCTTTCGTCTGTTTGGAATCCTGCTCTGTGTTAGAACGAAAAGGTAAGGTTTAATTCTTGTACATGGTGCATGCTTGCATTGAGTCTGTACAAGTTTGCCTCCTGTGATGCAGTACCAGATAATGCCATGTTTGTGATTAATGCCACGTGCTTATATCAGTTGTCTTGTTTAGTGCTTTTTGTGTGCTGGGCTTATCACTAAGCTCCTCTACCCATATCAGCCCTGAATCTCTATGGCCTTCTCAAAACACAAACCTTCTTTGCTCAAGCCCTCATCTTGGGATTTTGAGGGATTTTTTTCTGTGTATGCACACTATAGCCATGAGTGTTCTTTACCACTGGTGGCTTTGTGCCTTGCCTTAAATGTAGGGCAGCTGTGGGTGATTCCTTTACACGGAAGGAAGCAGGAGAATTGTGTGTCCACCTGTATGTGTTCTTACTGCCAAAGAACTACTGGGTGCAACTCCATTGCTGATGTTTTTCTTCAGTGAAATTTGAGTACAGAAGGTTGGTAAGGGGCCCTCAACCAGTCTCCATGGCTGTAATGTTTTCCTTTGTTTGCCTTGTCCTCAGTTCTGATAATATTCTTGCATGTTAGAAGGCAGAGCAAATGTTAATCAGGACTCCAGGAACATTTTTGCAGATCAGTACACTTGCATGTTACTCTCTTATGAGGGAATGTGTTGCAGATTACCAAGCTTTTCTCTTGAGAGGCTGATTTGAATGAAGTATCAAACTTAAAGGAATCTTTAATAATTTACTGTAATCCTGTAAGTATGTGAAAGATTAAATCTCTTATGCCTGATGCTTTGTGAAAGCAGGTGATATATACTACATGTGAATGTATGCTAAAAATCAGTCTGGAGCTAATCTGGTAAAGCTCCCAAACAAAGTTTTGGAAGGATGCTACTTTACCAGTCCTAGCAGCCTCCTTTTTTGTGAAGACAGGAGTATTTTAAATTGATATTTCCTTTTAGGTATTGCTTATCAAGTTGTGGTGGAGTTAGTACTTTGAAGATGGAATATGGTGCTCAGACTCCAGCTTAGATAGGAAATGACTAGAAACATTTAAGCTGTAGACATTTGTATAATAGTCTCTAGATGTTCAGGCTGAACTTTGAGGAGGAATCTGTAGGACAACATGCTTTCAAATGCAAGATTTGCTTTTGGACCTGTACTTGGGCAGAAAGAACAACAAGCTAATAGGTACATTTTCTGATAACTCTTCTTCACAGCTTGTTCCCCAACTAGTTCGTATTCTGAAGAACCTTATCATGTCTGGATATTCACCAGAGCATGATGTGTCTGGGATCAGTGACCCCTTTTTGCAGGTAAGAAATGATGCAAGCAGTCATTGATAGCTTTAATTTGTGCACTCCATTGTGAGACATAAGTATGACAAGATAGTTACCATAAGGCAGCAGTGTCGCTTTGAGGATTGGCATTGTGTTAGAGTAGGCTGGATAAATGCTGTACATCTACCTTAGTGAAAGCCACCTGGATTAAACAGAAGTTGTTGTGCCCTATGGTATTGTGATAAGTTGTGGCAAAACAAGAAGAAACAATGAATGTTGGTCTTGCAGGAATGTGCCTAGTTTGACTATCTATGTACTTGTAACAGTTTTGGCCTATGAAAAGAAAAAGAGCACAGCGTTTGCCTGAGAATAGAACCAAATCTGCATTATGCTTTGAAATAGGAAAATTAGTCTTTTGTTTTCTTCTTTGTCACCCCTCAAGCAGTGAATTTCATGGCCCTTCTGTAAAAGATTTCCATTGAGTGAGATTTTCTATTTTTGTCATGTAGGTGCGAATCCTGCGGTTGCTAAGGATTCTAGGGCGAAACGATGATGATTCTAGTGAAGCAATGAATGACATACTTGCACAGGTGAGACTTGCAAGGTTAATCAGCTTACATTTTCTCTTCATTTGTTAATTATTTGGATTCAGCACTGGTGAAGATACAGCTGCTTGCCACACTGGGGTGAGTTTTGTTGCTGGAGGCATGTATTTGTAGATGTGGTACACTAAGAATTACTGAATTTCACGGCTTCTTCTGCAGAGCAGCACAAAGGGGGTCCACTTTGGAGGTAATGGAGTCACTTTGTTTCTTTCTTCTAGGTTGCTACTAATACAGAAACAAGTAAAAATGTGGGAAATGCCATTCTGTATGAAACTGTGCTGACTATTATGGACATAAAATCTGAGAGTGGACTGAGAGTAAGTTGTCTTTGCTGTGGCTTTTTTTGTGTTAGAGCAATTTCTGTAGAAGACATGTGAGGCAAAAAAGCCCTGTGGTTGATTCTAGATAAGACTTGTAGCCTCTTTGGAAGGTGTAATTAAGGGGTGTAGCAGAAATGCTGTGTCCTGGCCTGAAGCAGTGATGGAGCACCTTGTGGGAAGGCAGGGTGAGCCCAGGGAACGCAGGTGCATGCAATGTACTTGAGTGGTCAGAAGGGTTGGAGCCTCTTCTCAGCCCTCATTTAAGGGTTGGCAGTGGTGGTGAGTGTGTCTCACTGAAGATTCCTGCCTATCTGAGGCCTTCCAAGGGTAAGCAGCTTTTTCTTCCATTGTTTCTGTGTCTGTGTATTTAATTTGTGCTTGTCCTCATTTGCTGCAGCCTAGGACTTTGCTACCCTGATGTTATTGCTGTGCTTTCCATTGCATTATAGTGTTACAGCGTGGAGGTGGGGGAGAAAAGGGTATAAAAGGGAAAAAGAAAATGAGGGAGAAAGAGGGGAAGGGGTGGCTGGGGGAGGGGAGCAGCAAAACATTCTTGAAGACTGTTTTTCCTGGAGTACAGGAGAGAGCCTGTACCATGTTTGTCTTAGTTTTTCCTTTGCTTAGTCAGGCTCCAGAGTTCTTTTGTCTTGCTTTTGGCCAAGAAGCGCAGTAGTAACGTTGCCTTTAAAGTCACCTTGAAGCAATGATGGAGGACTTTCTGGTCACTGACCTTTTATAACTTTTTCTGCAGGTGTTAGCCATTAACATCCTAGGCCGTTTCTTATTAAACAACGACAAAAATATTAGGTAAGTTGTATGAAGTGTGCTCCATCTATGCCCAGCTTAAAATGTCTAAGAAGCAATGACACTAAGATTATACTGAGTAGAACTTTCCAGGAGAGTGTTCTGGGAAGTGTTGTTAGTGGGGTGAACGTGACTGACCAGTTTTCTTTTTTTTTCTTGGCATTCTCTCTGTCAAAACTTTAACTATGGCTCTGCCCTTCATAGTAGTAGAATCTAGGAGCGTAAAGTTAATTCTTAATGTGATTTTTTTAATCTAGCTGAACGGTTGGGTTTTTTTTTCAGTATTCTGTAAATCTTCTGTCTTGTTTCACCTGGTCATGATGACATTCAAATTAGAGTGGACAGTGCCAACTTTACAAATTAGACAAGGAGTTGTTTTGTTTTCTTTCGTCTGCATATTGCTGTCATCATGGAAATTAATGCACAACCATTACTTCTTTAATCTGAACGTAGTATTGCTGCAACTGCCAGAATTAAGTCACATCTGTAGGCATTAGTATTAGAAATCGTCATATGGGTGGAAGGCTCTAGCTTTGGGAATTGTAACTTGCTTTGTAGTTTGTATGTGATATATGGAGGTCTAAACTTTAATTGCCTTGATTTTTCAAAATGAAGACAGGATATGAGAAACCTTACTTTTGGATGACAGGGCACTGGAGCAAGCTGCCTGGAGAAGTGGTGGAGTCTCCTTCTCCAGAGATATTCAAATCTGCCTGGCTGCTTTCTTGTACAACCTACTGTAGCAAAACTTCTCTAGCAAGGGGGGGAGGGGATATTGGACTCGATCTCCACGAGGCCCTTCCAACTCCTGTGATTCTGCTGACAACTGGCATGAGCCCAGGAACTGGGGTGGGTGCTTGTCTGAGCAGCAGAATATCATTAGATGTGTTACTCTTTTGTATGGTAACCCTATGGAGCTAGGCCAGGTAGTCTCGTGGAAGATCCTCACATGTTACTGAGGGGTACAAGAGAGCTCTGTTTTGTTGCAAAAGATGATTAAATGTGGGTAGGTGTATTTGTGCATAGAAGTTGAGTGCTTCCCTTTAACTATTTTCTTATGCAATATTCTTATCCCAGATATGTGGCTTTGACATCACTGTTGAAAACTGTGCAGACAGACCATAATGCAGTACAGAGACATAGAAGCACAATTGTGGACTGCCTGAAAGATCTGGATGTCTCCATTAAAAGGTAACTGAAATATCAGTGAAAGAGGCAGCCTATGAAGAGTGAGCAGGACAAGGACATGGGAAAATGACAGGACTACTGGAGAACTGAAAATGAGACTAGTATTAATGATTTGATTTCTACTTCATGTAAGGTAATAAAGGTAATGAAAGCATGCAGCCACTTTCTTTGAGAAGCTGCTTTTGCGTTTTCTGCCTCTTGAATTGGTAGGGTAATAATTTTTCTGTTTGTCTGAACACTTCCAAAATGGAGTCACCCAGAGATGAGCTGGTATGCTCAGAAGTATCAACCTTCATAAATTAGGGTCCTAATCCAAACTATTCTGGCATGCTTGGTCTTACTTTTCTTTCCCAGACAAACAGGTGTTGTGACATTATCCTGAAGCAATGTTAAAATCTCCAATTAATGATTCTAGATTAAATTTAGACAGTGGTAGAATTTAAGTTTACTGGATTGTTCAGATGATTTGCTTATAAACTGTGTCCTGTTTTGCATTCCTTCTCTGGACAATAGGAGAGCTTGCAGCATTATTCATCTTTCTTAAAAAAACAAAACAAAACAACTCAGTATTAAGATATTTCTCTGATTACTTTTAATCACTTCAGTTGTTCCTTTCACTCATGGTAGCATCTTGTTTCAGTTACTCATAGATAGTATTGAATAAGTTGATCACAATTCTACTGGCCTGTGTGAAGTACTACACTTAATTCTCTAAATCAAGTCTTTCACACTCCAATTTGATTCAGTGCTCTCTTCCTTATCAGTATTCATTCTGTAATTCGTTGACCTCAGCGCAACATAAAACAACCGTGTCAATGATAGGGACTGTTGCATCCCTTTTGCACTGGGTGGAACCATTGCAGGCCAGAATTTCGTTCAACTTGTTACATCGTGAACACATTTATTTTAGAACTGCTTATCCTCTTATATTGGCTTTGTCTAACCAATTAGATATGCTGCAGATACTTGTGCTAGAAGGCATTCTTCAGATTTGACTCTGAATCAGATCTAGATTTTCAGCAGTACTTACATACTCTAACATGTAGAGTAGGAAACAATTTGAAACTTTCTTCTGAAGGTTAGTTTTAACAGTTATGAAATGGGTGTAATGTAATTCCATTTTACAGTGTTATGCTATCCTAAAAGGTAAATTTTTATCTTACGTGTTCAAGTTAGGCTATCACAGTTTGGTGTCAGAGTCAGTGTGAGGTTAGGCTGTGGAACAGCAAAGGCCTATCTAGGCTTTGGATGGAAGGCCACAAAAGCATTTTGCTGATGCCTGTTAAGGAAAACGTGCTACAAACAACAGAGCTTCATGTCTGAGTGCTATTGGAGGATGAAGCCTTTGAGTGATCCATCGGCAGAGCTTGATGTTGCTGTGTTGACACTCGTGCTGCTGACAATGCACTCTTCTCATTGAAGCGATATATTGATTGGATATTGGAGTCCCGAACAGCAAGTTTCGAGATCTGGAACTTGAGAGAAAGACATACCTGGTTTTGGTTGACGTGTGAAGTATGGCCTGTTCTTGTCATCTTAAACATTGAAGTGCAACTTTGGTCAGTGTAGTGTAATTCAGAATAGCTTTGCCATTTACTTCAAGTTTACCTGTCAGCTTAATATGATCAAATTGCATTACTAGGAACTTCGTGACAGAAATGAGGCCTGTAATATGATTGAATGTGAGCAATATATGGCTGGAAGTTTTTGATTCTCTTCAGGGGTCTTATTCTATTAGCCTATCTAGCGATGGGCAGAGAATGAAGTTCCTGATAAAGTTGTTCCCTTCCTTCCATGCTTGATGAGTTTGTGCTCTGGATTACACTGAGTACTCAATTGTAAAGAATAGTCAGAGTTGTTTAGAGAGGCTGCTTTAATGCATTTTAACATAGCAAATTATTATGGTTGCCCAGAAACAAGTAATATTTGAAGACAGTAGTTTTCATTCAGGGAATGTGGAATGCGTGGGAGAGTTGTGCTACAATCAACTTCAGAAGCTTCAAATAGAAGGAACAAGGACTGGCCTCTGATCTTTGTTTATATATAAAAAGTAATGTCAAATAGCTAGGACTTTGTCTAATTGTGATGTCAACTTGTGACAGGGAAGGAATGAATTTTGTACAGAGCACTACCATCCTGAGTTCTGGAACTCTTACTTAGTCTATCTGCCAGGACATAATAAAGCTTATCAACTCTGATGTGTTCAAAACTTTAATGGATGGAGAACAAAATGGATTTAAAGATTTCTGAACCTGAAGAAATCTTGTAGCTGGTATAACTTTCTTATTGCGGATGTGTCAGATATGACCAACGTGTAACTGTGAATACTAGGACCTTAACACTGATGGACTCCGGTTGTTGAAAGATATTTCTAGCCTTAAGATATCTAGGGACATTTGCCCAGCTGCACTTCAGTTTATGGTTTTTTGGGGTGGCTGTTTCTTCTCCTGAACAAGAAAATGCAATTAATCCTGTGGGAAGAGCCTTCCATAATAAGATTGCTCTTTTAACCAAAGGATAAGTGTATTTGAGTGTAACTGGACTTGTTTATTTTACTTCACCAATGAGAATATACTTTGTTTTCTGTCCATTACCCTAGGCGTGCAATGGAACTGAGTTTTGCTCTTGTTAATGGGAACAATGTTCGTGGAATGATGAAGGAGTTGCTGTATTTCCTAGATTCATGTGAGCCAGAGTTCAAGGCAGACTGTGCATCTGGAATATTCCTTGCAGCAGAAAAGTACGGGATCAATTTGCCAATAATTTTTTTTTCAGTTATCAAAATTGTGAGCATTTTTGCCTTGTCTACCCCCCTCCCTTTCTCAACACTTAAGGGAGAATAAGTTGATCTTGAGTTTAATGGTTTTACCCCTGCTGAAGGACAGGATGTACCAGTGCATTGAGGCACACTAATGTTCCCTTATAGGCAGTCCTCATATCATTAAGCCTATCTAGTTTATTGATTTTTGCTGTTCTTTGGAACAGGTTTTGTGTTGACACCTTGGTCCCTTGCCCCTTCCACATGCCCACTTATGTGTTCTCTCCTATTACATGTGCATATGAGATGATCTTACTAAAGTTGAGCCATTATAATTAGCAGCCTGATTTTTAAGTATGTGTAAGGTATGGCTGTGCTTGTATATTCATTCAGCATTTCAGTGTCAACATTACTAACAAACGGTCAAAGAATTAAGTTTTTTTTATTCAAGGAAGAGGTGGGCCAGGAGGTGACCAAAATGGGGAGGACGTTCTGTTGACTTTGTTTTCTTGCTGGTGTTAAAGCTAGTAATTCTTGCTCTAATTCTTTTCTTATTTTTGTCAGATACGCTCCTTCCAAACGCTGGCACATAGACACAATCATGAGAGTCTTAACAACGGTAAGTAAAATTGGCTCTTCCGTGTGTGACTTTGTAACAGCTGTACAGCAGCTTTCTGATTTGTTTGGGTTTTTTTTACTACCTGACTGTTACTTTTTTACTACCTGAATTTCTTTGCAAACATTACAGTTGAGGTTGGAACTGAAGTAGTGTTTCAGCAAATGAGAGAAGAAAGCTTAATAACTTGGGTAGGCAGTGTGTTCTCTGATGCAGGGCAATGGGAGGTGATCTACTTTATTTGGATGAGTGTTTATATTTGACGAGATCAAGAAGTGAGTCTTGCTTTCTGTGCTGTTGTGGCATCCTGAAACTGAGAAATCTGCATTCCTCTGAACATAGAATTGATTTATATGTGAAGGTTGGTAGGTTGTGAGAATTTCTCTCATACGACTTGCTTTTATTAAAGTTAACTTCATCCTTTGAGTGCTAAGGAGAACCATTTATAAAGTTACATTCACAAGACTGCCTACTGCAGACTCTTATCTATAAGTAGCCAATCCAGTTTACCAGACTTGGGAGAATTAATACAGAAATACGGCATCAGCTCCTGGTTTTGGCTTGCTGAATTTTCACTTAGTTGACTTAATTGAGCTCATTTAATTTCTCTTTTGAGTGATTATGTTTTCAGTGCCAGAGGAAGTGTCCAAACAAAACAACTTTTGAGCAGTGTACATCTTTCCTTTAGTACTAATGCTAATTTCTGTGCTGATCTGGCATAGAGCCTAGTTTTGAAGAAATGATGAAAAAGCTAATTTGTACCATCAGAGTTTGTCTTAGTCTTAGTCTTCCATTCAACAGATAAGTTTTTCTACAGTGTTCTCATTCTTACGTGGCATAGAAATAGAACAGTATTTTTGTGTATATCCTATCCTCTTTTTATCTACAGTATGACTTTCTCTGGATATAGCTGAGTACTTTAGGAGAATGTGCTGTTTTGTACTTCAGCAAATCTGAGTTTGCTCAAAATCAGTCACAAAGTACTTGAGGATGATAAAGTTGTTTTGTTTTTTTAATTTTAAACCTGTATGAATCACATGGCTTTGAAGGATGTCAGCAGTTGCTGGGTGTTACTGAGAAGTTGTATAATGAAACCTAGCAGTTTTTTTTTTCTCGAATACATAAATGTTCTTGCAGGCAGGAAGTTATGTTCGTGATGATGCTGTTCCCAACCTGATCCAGCTAATAACTAATAGTGTGGAGATGCATGCCTACACTGTGCAGAGACTCTACAAAGCCATCCTTGGTGATTACTCTCAGGTAATACCTAATACAAGTTTCCTTACTATGCTGTAATAAACATATTTGCTAAACATATCAAGGTAAGTCAGTATCATGCTGTCTAGTTCCAATGACAGATTGCAGTGAAAACATGTATTCTTTATGGACTTGTTCTTCTAATTTTCTCTTAAGGAATTCTTGATCAAATGAAATACCTCTGTTTCTTTTGCTATAGTGAATTTCCTTGGCTGGTAGCAAGAGTAAGCTGGCTCTGGAAAATAGTGGTGGTTTATGTTTTTTGTACAGGAATGCATTTATCTCTGAGGTGTCTGATTTTCGTTTATTAATTCTTCTGACAGCAGCCACTGGTTCAAGTGGCCTCCTGGTGCATAGGAGAGTATGGAGATCTTCTGGTGTCTGGTCAGTGTGAAGAAGAGGAGCCAATACAGGTATAGCCTGAGAAGGAGCAAGTGTATACGTGGCTGAGGCTGGAGCTGTTTGATGGCTATGTGAGCAGATTGCTTGCAACAGTTAGTAGTGGTGTCTGTGATAGTGGTGGGCCTGGGAGTGGGAACTCCTTTCCATGCTGCTGACATGGGCTATATAAACATATCCAGCTTTGTCTCTGAAGCGTGCAGCTACACTAGTCAGAGTAATGTGATTTTGGTTCTAACCTAGCTTGCAGAGTGTCAGCTGGGGTTTCTAGCTCTATGTTTTGATAACCCTTTTTTAAAATATGTGGAACAGGAGCTTTATTTTAAAGTAAAATATCGCAAGACAGCTATCTGTATGTATCTGTTTCATACACTGCGTACATGCTGCATGTTCATAAAGTTACTGGAAAGCTCCCATTAAGCAAGATAAACTTTTTACAGTATACCATGGAAGGCTTGCTGCAGAGCTTCTCTCTGTCTAAGCCTAACCTTTCTGTACCTTTTCAGGTAACAGAGGATGAAGTTCTTGATATTTTAGAAAGTGTTCTGATATCTAATATGTCTGCATCTGTTACACGAGGCTACGCTCTCACTGCCATCATGAAGCTTTCCACAAGGTTCACCTGCACTGTCAAGTGAGTTCTCTTTGATGTTGTTCTGCGTAGGATTTTGTTGCAAACATGCTGGCATCAGTTTGCTTCAGTAGAACTATTTTTTGGATGTATTCTTTTTCTGTTGTTGAGTCATCTTATTGGCTTGCAAGCTGCAAGACTTCCACCAATTCATACTGTTTTCAGATGTTCTCTACTGTGTGGGCAATTTATGTCATGATGTCCTTGCTTGAAAACTTATTAATGGGAGGGAAAACCCTTACTTTCAGTGGATTTATTCCATTTTTATTTGTTGTGTTGGGAAGAAAAATAGGCTTATTTTGTATTAAGGCTTGATTGTGGGTCATTGAGCTTTGGTGTGGTATACCTTGTGGTGATGCAATGATCACCTGCTGACTGCTGAGGAGAAACAGGAGCAGTTGAAAAAGTGATGTTGCACAGATAATCAAGGAAAGCAGCAGTGACTACCATTTCAAGTCAGTTACACAGCGCACCTCTTCATCATAGGTCAGTTAGCATCTTCTGGGTGACACGTGCTAATTTCTTGCTCTTTGCTCCTAATTCCATAGTGTTTTGCTGTTTGTCTTTTTGTCCTTTCATTTTCCCTGCAGTCGCATTAAGAAGGTAGTTTCCATTTACGGCAGTAGCATTGATGTGGAGCTACAACAGAGGGCAGTGGAATATAATGCACTATTTAAGAAATATGATCACATGAGGTAAGTGCTGATGAGTTTTAGTGTTCGAAAAGGCTAATAATCTACCCTGATCTCCTACGTAGTACATACAGAGAGCTTAATCAGGGTGTTCTGTAAAAAATTACACAAGAACTGCAATCCCTTCCTGATCTATTGTGAGGTGTTTTAAGAACTTAGTATATCCTGTGATAAGTGTTCTGAGATCGCAGTCTTGCCCTTCCAAAACGCTTTTCCCATTTTGAGCTTGAAGTTGGCTGTTGTTTCACTTTGTGGTAGGACTTGATGATCTTTAAGGTCTTTTCCAACATGAGCAATTCTATGATTTAGGTGTTGAATCTTAAATTTGCTAGCTGAGCAAGTGCCTGCAGGTAGCTTTTGCCATGCTAACCATACCAGTTGTTAGGTTTAAGCTGATCTTATTACACTTTTGGAATAAACGTGCAGAGATCCACTGACCTTTTTTTCCAAAGCTATGCTCTGAACTTGAGGTAATTCTGTCACGGAGTCTGAAAGCCCATTGTTGGGGTTATTGGCACTGCAAATCTCATTCATCCTGAAAGATGTTGGCAGTGTAACTTACTCATATTACATGCAGTACTTTGAGACCTGATCCATGAGGGTAATGGTATTTCTTGCATTATAGACTAGTTTTCTCTGTATGGCTTGTGCTTTGTTGTGTTGAAGTCAGGATTCTGTGTCCTGTGCCTCTTCTCCTTCAGTTTCTGTATGCTTTCAGGAGGGTACTCTTGAGGACCAAACTTACACTTTCTGGAAACTTAAATTTGACTTAGAGAGCACGGTGGTTTGTTTTTCCAACTTTGTTACCTGTTTCAGCCAATCAGCTGACCTTCTGATTCACCTGAGTATGGACCAGAGCAGTCAGATGTCCTATGTCTGCAGTTAATCCACGATTGCTCAGTCATTTAATCTGCTTTGTTATCCTAGCTCCACTGTGAAAACTGTCCAGTATTAGAAGAAGACAAGGGTGTATTGTTTGACTGTCAGCTGACATTTAATATATATACACTGGCACAATATGTTAGGGATCGTTTTTGACCACCTGCAGCTGTTACATAGTCTTACAGTGCCCCTGCAGCGGAGCTGAAAGGAAGACGCAGGTTGCGCTGTGTATATCTTCTCTTGAATGTTTTGAATGCTTGGATTGGGATCCAAGAAGATGGCACAGTATAACTATGTCAGCTTCTTTCAGGCCAGCCCTGCTTGAGAGAATGCCGGTGATGGAGAAAGTCACCACCAATGGCCCTACTGAGATTGTACAGACCAATGGAGAGACAGAAACAGCGGTACTGGAAACCAAACCTCCGCACTCTGGATTGCAGCCTGGTAGCCAGGTAATGGAAACTGATCTAGTATAAGTTATCACTGCCTATCAGCTCAGAATGCTAGCCACTGACTTTTCAACAATAAGCTGATGCAGCCTCCCTTCCTGACCCTGCCTCTTTGTAAGTTGTGGCCTGGTGATCAATTGCATCACATTTCTGCTCTGATGGTTCTAGTTCCAAGAACAGATGTGTGGAAGAGGTTATTGTAGGGAATGCAAGAGCATGATGGGATAAGTCCATATATTCCTCAGCCTGTTTGTATCCTCAGGCTCCATCCCACTCTTATCAGTGTGGTTCCAAAAAAGCAGTAGCTTGATCTCTTGGAACCACAGCCAAACTAAGAATCTCTCTAATCAGTCAGCAGCTCTGGCCTTTAATCTGAGGGCAAGTGGAATTCATCCAGTATGAAAGGGGGAATCAGCAGAAATATGAATATGTAACTTTTATTTTCTCATTAGGCAAATGATTTGTTGGACTTGCTGGGGGGGAATGACATAACACCTGTAATCCCCACTGCACCTACAAGCAAGCCAGCCTCTGCTGGTGGGGAGCTCCTTGACCTACTGGGAGACCTCAACCTAACAGGTGAGTAGGCTTCATCTCTTGGAAATCTACGTAATCTCATTCCTGGGGTGGGTCAGGTTGAGTGCTGAAGATGCAAGGGCTGGTTTGTTCATCACTACTAAGTCCCTGTCTTCATGACTGTTGTCAGGCTCTGTATTAGCATACAGGTGGACATCAGGAGATGACATCAGAGATTGACACTTAATGTTTAGACAGTGGGACTTATGTATTTTCACATTCCGGCCTGGGAACACTATGTGAGCCTTTCCAGAGAGAATAAGATACAAGAAATTACTGCATTTGAATGCCTGCTAGCTCAAGAGGAGCCAGACCTTGTTGAATAAAAGCTGAGAAGAGGCAAATATCATAAATACCTATTTGTAAAGTTTCGTATGTAGAAATAGTATGTATTGATATTTGAGCAGTTGAGTTGGGGGAATAATTACCCTTCATTCTGTGACAGCAAAATCTAATAATTATCCAACATTTCTTGTAGGTTCCCCAGTATCTGCCCCTGCACCCCAGATATCACAGCCTCCATTCCTGCTTGATGGACTGTCATCACAGCCTCTCTTCAATGATATTGCTGCAGGTTAGGGACATCTGAAACCTTAGCTGAAGGTGCCACAGCAGAAGAGGAAACAAGGGGTAGTAACGGAAAGGAGATGTCATTGTGAAGTGTGACACACACATTGGAGCAGGAGGGGAGGTTGTTTAATCTACAGAAGAATTTGTGTTCTGGGGTAAAGGAAATGAGTTTTGTGATGCTGAGAATGATGTCTAGATTCTCAAGTCTGCTACTTTTTTGCTTTCTACAGGAATCCCTTCAATTACTGCATACAACAAGAATGGGCTGAAGATTGACTTCAGTTTTGAGAGGTCAAACACCAACCCCAGTGTCACTGTAATCACAATACAGGCCTCCAACAGCACAGAGCTGGATATGACAGATTTTGTTTTCCAAGCTGCAGTACCAAAGGTAGAACTGCTTAGGGCAACTACAGTGACAGGTAGAGGGCCAGCTGCAAGTACTTCCTGATTGGTACTTTAATATAGGCAGACACATGCAGCATGGGTGAGCTAACAGTTCTCATTGTGCTCAGTTTAGTCATAAATGGAATGGAGGATGGGATAAAATGATCTGCTCTGATAAAATCTTATTTTAAAATCACAGTTTTCTAGAAAGATTGCTAAACTATGCCCAGGAAAATGTTGGGTCCAAAAAAAAAAAACCACCAAGACAAACCTTTCCCTTTGTTCTTAGTTTCTAAGAAATATATTGTACTCTTTGTAGCTGTAAATACATGGAAAAAAGAAAATTCTTTGGAGCTATTAGCTGCCTATAAAACTTGAAGTGAGTTCCCACATAGTGATTATTAACGCAGTTAAAGCAGTTAGTTGTCTCCTCTTGGAATTAGCTGCAGCACAAAAATATGAAGATGGAAATTACCTAGTTTGTAGTAGAGCAGGACTTGATTGAAATATTGAAATTTGGGAAAGCATATTCACTTTCCAGAGTTTCACTTCTGGAATTTACTAACACTATATCTTTAGTTTGGAATTTTCATACCTGTCACAGAAAGGAATGAGGGAGAGAATGGACCTCCTGAAGTTAGAGATGTACTGAGCAGTGTTGGCTGTTCCACCTGAGAGTTAAAATTGAAACAGTGCATCACTACTGATTTTGATAGACCACAGTAAGGCCTTATTCCCTCATACTTGTGCCTTCTGGATCTTTGTGTGGAAAGATAGCGGGCCAGCAAATATTTTGTTCTTTGCAGATAAGGAATTGAAGAACTGGTTACTTCCTTGTGTCTGTGTACTGGCAGGACTTATTTTTTTTTATTGCAAACAAATCAATTAGTTTATATTCATACTTGATTAAGCATCAACTTGCTTTCATTTTGTTCTTCAGACATTCCAACTGCAGCTTCTGTCTCCTAGCAGCAGTGTCATCCCTGCATTTAATTCGGGGACCATTACACAGGTCATTAAAGTCCTGAATCCACAAAAGGTGAGTGATTCTGAGAACAGTTAAAAAGCCACTGCCTGGAAGTTGTGCATTTAGTGGTGGGGAATTGTATTGTAGTGAGAATGTTTTTGTTTAGCACTAGGAAAATATTATGAAAAAAATATGTAAAAGACAAGAGGTTCAGGGCAAAGATTTGGCTTTGTTTGTTTATACTTCTAAAACAGACTCTAAAAAAGCCTTGAATTTGTGGATATTTGTTGCATCAGTACAGTTGTTAAACAAGTTTCTAGATCTTTCTAGAGGAGCAGAACCTGGTGTTTGTGGTGTGGAAGTGAAATGGTAAGATGCTTGCTTTTTGGATTTCAATATATTTCAAGTTTCTTCTTGCTGTCTGCAGGGGGCATTTCTTGAAAGTTGAAAACAAAAAATAGCTTAATCCATAATCTTAACCGGATTGTCCATTTTCTTAAGTGATATTGTTTAATATATTGTGAGTGTATTTTTAAATAGTTGAGGGGAAGAGTATTTTGCTATGATTTATCATAATTCTGTTTGTTTTATAGCTTTCATAGGTAAGTTTCTGAGACTGAAGAAAAAAGTAAACTTGAGAGGAGAGAGGGATATGGCTCACATGTCTTGCTTAAGAGGTTTAGCAATGAGGTGGCATCAGAAAGAAAAGTGCAAATTTTAATTTTATCAATTTTTGGGACAGTATTGACATTTTTCTGATGTATTTATTTCTTTATCACTTACTGCTCTAGATGTTATGTAGACTGTGCAAGTTTAAAAAATGAAATTCTTAAATCTTAGCCGAAGATTTCATTGAAATAACTGTTTTGTGCACAGTTCACATAATTTCCCCTTGTCTCTATACAGTGTACTCCTCTCTGGCTCTAGTAAGACATGCGTGTAATTATTGTGTCATACATATCTGATATGAATTTCCATGTGGGTTCTAAAAGTTATAAACAAAGGGGTTTAGAAGCTTTCCTGTAGATGCCAGAAGTTGGAATGTATCCTTCTCATATGGGCCTCATAAGCTGAAACATGCATTCTTGTTGGAACTTCAATCTCCTCTGAATCCTTGAGAATAGAGAACTGCAAGCTAGTATTTTGCTGCCCTCTGCTGCACTGTTTTATGCCTCTTCCATGTGTTCAGTGCTTAGTGTCCTTTAGATTGCTGTTGAACTCAGATGCAGCTTCGCGAGAGTCCTGTGCATGAGATAGTTTAAGTTACCTCAAATATTCTGAAGGAAACAACCTCAACTTTATTGTTTAGGAGGTAGCTCTTTGTCTTTTCACTGTTATAAAAACTGTTCACGTGGTTGTGGTCTGTTGTCATGCTGGACTGAAACTAATGGTGAAGATGGGGAAAGTTGTAGTGAGCAGACTGAAAGATCTTAGAATGTAACTCTTCAGAGTGGATGAACAAGGTTATACTCTGACAGTGGCCAGTGCACTCTGTACAATGGCTGGTTACCCAGAACAGTACCAAATATAACTTTTTTAGCCAGAGGCTGGTTGGAGCTGTCTTTGTCCTCTTTTCCTCTCTTTCGTTATCCTTTCTACATATTCTTCTGTAGACTTCTGGGGGTCAACAGAAGATGTGAAACATGCTGTTCTCTGGCTATTATTAAGATCATCCTAGCATCTGGATGGCAGCCAAGCAACAGTGTAAGGCAGTCTGATCTGTTCTGTCATTTAGCCACAGCAGGAGGAAATACTTAGAGATATCTCTAGTCTTTCTTGGGCTATTTCGTCCAGTGCTACTGAGCTATGCAAGTTTCCAGACCGCTGCTTCTCTGAGTCAGCAGCACAGGAAATAATACCTTTCTCCATGTAAGCCTAAGTGCAGCCTAAGCAAAGTCCAGATCTGCCTCCTGCTTTCTTCCATGGCTAATTGTGATTGCAAGACAGTTACTGTTATATTTAAGGACCTCTGTGTTGATGAGAGCAGAGCCAGTGCAGAGAGAGAGATGAGTAGAATCTGTGCTGTAGTTTTTCTGAGAAAATTTTTACTTGACCTGAGAAGTACAATGGGCAAGCAGCATCCTACTAGATTAAGCATTTATCTGCGTTGTCATAGCTTACTCTGCACATACTTCCTGCAAGCTTTTGTGGAGGAAGGATCTGTGTTGTGTTTTCTCAGGGGATGTGGGACAGGAAGCTGAACTTGGGAAGATTTGCTGACCTTTGTTGAAGACCTGAATTTGTGTGTGTTTGTTTCCTTTTCTCTTGTAGCAACAACTACGTATGCGGATCAAGTTGACGTATAATCACAAGGGCTCAGCAATGCAGGATCTAGCAGAAGTCAACAACTTCCCCCCTCAGTCTTGGCAGTGAGGCTCTGGCACCATTCTTATTCTCACCCCACCCAATCAAAAGAACTCTGGGAAGAAGGTTGTGATCCTTGGCAGTCCCCTAAACTGCACCATGGGCATGGGGAACAGATGAGACCTGCTGATGAGGAGGAATTTTCCTGAAGTGATTGCTGACTTTGAAGCATATCTGTTGAGACTAATCTCCTCTCCTCCGCTGATGAGGCTGGTGGCTTGTGGAGGCTACTCTGCACTCCCTCACACATGCATTCACAGCCAGAAGCAACATTCCCTCCCTTCCCTGCCTCTCTACCCCCAAAGAAAAACAGCCTGGTTGGAAGAGAAGTCTGGAATTTCTTGCAGGGAAACTTTCTATCTCTGCAGCAAGTGAACAACTGCCCCTTCTTTCTGCTGTCTTTTTTTTTTTTTTTCCCCCCCCTGGGATGGTCAAGGTGTGTTTTCATTCGTTACTAGCTGGATTATCTTCAGGCACTTTCATCTGGGGCTCAGAATGGGAACATGGAGAACTTTAGGTCACTTTGCCTCTTTCTTACTGTATCCCCCATGTCTAAAGGGGCTGGAGGCTTTTTTTGGCCTGTTCAGTGCATTACTGTATACACACACCTCTTAGTTATGTGATACGTACCAAGAGCAAGTCAGGCCTTGGGACTTCATCTGCAGACCTGGGACAGTGCAGGAAAGAGGTGCCAGTGAGGCTGATTAAAATTGCATTGGTGCTGTACTTGGAAATGAAGACCTTACACTTGAATTTTCTTTCTTTCCATCAGTGGCTGCAGCCATACAGATTCAGTCTTCTGTAGCTTCCCCGGAAAGTATGGTGATGTATAAGATGTAGCGATCTAAGGAGCAGCTGGTTTTCTACCGCAGTTAATTTCAAAGCCTTTAGTTGTGGTTTATGGTAAGAAAAGACACATTCAATTTTGTAGATCAGTCTTTGAGCAAAAGCTCTGTTGCCTGCTGGGAGACTCACCGGAGACTATGCTGCAGAGTTGTTCTTAGTTATTCCAGACTTTCTCCCCGGTTTAATTTCCAGAGCCTGTTGTAGACTCCCTGGGTTCCATTTGATTTACTTCTGACTGGGATATTTGTGTTGTATCTGTAACATTGGCACTGAAATAAAGACCATGCGGTTTAAAGAGACCTTCTCCCATTTTGTTACTTAATTCATCCTTGTAGCTGGCTGCTTGCTCCCCTTGTAGAAAAATCTGTTTGTTAAGGTGCAGACTGAGAATGGAACTACACTGTTTTTTGAATGAAAGCCGATTATTTGAGTATTTGAATCCAAAGATGTTAGGTTCAGTACTCTTCTGAGCTTAAGGTTGTATCCAGTTATGCTTCCTAGTGTCAGCTATTGTTGAGGTAGTAGAGTTCCATGAATCTTCATGGAGGTGATGTATAGGATATAAAGCACAGTGACAAAACTGTTCAGGCATTCAGCACCCTTCAGGGAGAAAGAGGAAAAGATAGGCCTTAAGTCTTCATTCATTAATGTGCTCGTAAGTTGAAGGTACCCCAGCTCCCAGCTGCAGAGCTTTCTCAGAAGAAACACATGGCACATCTGCTCTGTTTCCGTTGCAGGACTGTAAATATATGGTGATCATTTTGTGCTCTGGCAGCCTTTTGTGTCTGCAAACGTACTAACACTAAGTTCCAATCATTGTTAGCAGTGTTGCAGGAATGGTGTACAGTGTATTTAGGGAAAATCAAAGACTTATTCTACCCTTGAATTCATAGCAAGGGAGGTCACTAGCGGTTGTTCTGCTTTGGTTTTAACCACAATAGATAATATAATGTAGGACTGACTTTAATTATTGGTATGTCCAGTCGAGTAAGTTTATTTTCTCTTGGAAGGCTTTTTTGCTGCATTATTGAGAGGACTGGGTTGAGCCTTCACTTCACCAAAGAGTTTCATTATTCTGTTGAAACTGGCATCATTATGGAGTTGTTAAAAACTAGCAAGAATGATGTGTGACTTCTTTGAAACTGATTCTGAGTTATTGCAGTGTCTTGGTTGGGCTAACAGTGCCTCAGATGGAACCATAATGATACAGGCAGTCTTGCAGAAAACAGCTGAATCAAAGCCCTTTTCTGGATGCTGAACATTTACTTTGTTGCTTTTACTGTGACTACTTGACAAAATTGGCTCAAACTCTATAGTGGTGAATGTGTTTAAATGTAGTCCCCAGTGGGCTCTGAGGGCGTCCCAGGTATCAAGCTAACAGGAAGTTTTTTGCCTTAGTTCCTTAAAACCCTGTAAGGCGTCATTCTTTTCAGAATTGTATGTGGTATTGAAAGCTGGTGCACCTCAGTCTCCATTTCTTTTTGCTGAGAAGAGCACTGTTGCTGGAGATGGGGAGAAAGAAGTACATGGGCCCTGACCTGGCCAGTTTATTGCAGCATGGCTGGAAACAACTGACCTTGTCCCTCTTACATTTGTTTTCTGTTCTATAGAGCAGGTGGATTTTGTTGTTGGTCTCTGGCAAACTTTCAGGATAGATTCCTTCTCTATACTTGGATCCTTCAGCCACCTTTACACATAAGTGTTTTGTATTTTGGAAAATATACTGTCATATTTCTGGGTCAAGCTCAGGGAGATGGTGTGTGTACCTGAAAGGCATTCAGCTTGAAACCATCTCTTGGCCATAAAGTACTTTGCAGCTGAATGTTCCTGTTGTCCTTGGAGCTCTCTACCTTCCTTTCTTAAGAGATTGAGTACTAACACTACCTCTAGAAAGAAGGCCAGGTTACATGTTTCCTTATTTGCAATGCTAGATACTACTGCTTGCTCCTTTCCCCTAGGTATGTCTCAACCTTCGTGCTGCTGCTTTGTCATGATAGAGAATACTCAATGCCTCAGAGAGCACTCTGGGGACAAGGTGAGCCTTTATTCCATTGGAATGCAACAATTTAGGTCTGGTCAATGGTTTTCTTCTTTCAGTGTAAAGAGGATATAAGAGGAGCAAGATACGGACTTTGTGGCTAACCTGTGTAATGTGGGCTCTGCAGGCTGGTGCTTGGATAGACTGTCTGCTTTGGTTTGTTTATTTTCCAAACAAATAAATTTTGAGGAAAGCACAGAAAGAATAGTGGGTGGTACTGATACAGAAGGGAGAGGAGATATGAGAAGGTCCTAAGGTTTAATTTCATCAATTTTTTTGATGGGTGGCCTTGAGCAGCATTTTGAAGCAATAGCAGTGAGGGAACTGCCACCCATGCAGTATGTTGGATAGGCTCTGAAGCAGCTGGGAAAGGTGACTTCATCCTTTCCCCAGTGCTGATACTGGCTGCAAGATGGAGCAGCAAAGTTGGCTTTTTTTTGG